CGATGAGAGAGAGAGTCATCGATCAGCTGCCTCTTGCACACCCCTACTGGGGATATGCCCGCAACCAAGGTACATGCCCTTGACCGGAATCGAACCCGGGATCTTTCAGTCCCCAAGCTGACGCTCTATCCATTGAGCCAAACCGGTTTCGGCTGGAACGTTTCTTTTTATCTCATCAAGATACTCTGTTGCTTTGCCATATTTGGAAACTTGCTCGAGAGCCATTTTCTCTCTAGGAATACAGGTCCTCATTTATGCGATGCCTGGACATTCTTGTGATACCTTTCTCTTCTTTTCCCAGGGATATGTAACATATTTCATGTCAGTGGTTTCGACACACAAACCATAGTCAATAACAATGGCAAGACAGAATATGGACTCTTCCAGATCAATAATAAACTTTGGTGCAGGGACAATCAGATACAGTCAAAGAACATCTGTGACATCTCCTGTGATAGTGAGTAGCTTCTTTTATCCAGTTTCTCTGTTTTTCTGAGCCTCCCTCCTGGATGATCTCTGGATTCACTGCCATGTACTCTACATCAACTTTGGGACTTGGATTGAGAATACTATGTAAGAGGCTGCTAAAAGTTTTCATGATCATCAAATCCCCAAACAGCCCCATGAAGTTTATGAGTAGATGATCTGAGCTGTCTGGGAGTCTTGAAGTCTGATGCCTAACATTTTCAGAGTAAGTCAGTTGATGAGGTTGATAATTCCTCCAGACATGCCCCTCAGTTAGGGGAGGCATTGGATTTCTGCATTGGCTTTCTTATGTATTATAGAAAGGCAATAGGCATAAGCCTCCAGAGAAGGACCAGACCTACTAGATCCAGGGAAGGGAAACACTTATTACCTTTCTGGATAATACTCAGCTCTCTCATTTTGTTCCCTCTAACTATTTCCAGAATTCTTGGATGATGACCTTACTGATGACATGAAGTGTGCCAAGAAGATCCTGGATAGTGAAGGAATTGACTACTGGTGAGCCCCTATTCTATTTTCTACTCCCCATTCCCTTTCTTTTTCTCACCCCTTTAGCTCCTGCACCACTCCTCCCCTCTCTATCTTCTGGCCATTTAATCTAGACTATAGTCTCCAAAGCAACACTCATCGAGCAGATTTAGGTTTCCAAATTTTAAGCCTCCGTCACTCCACTCCTGTTTGGCAATTGTTCTAATAGGAGTTCCCCATAGAAGGCTGAGACCCAACCTCCTTTCAGCTCGACTTGCACATCTGATTTGACTTGTATAGTCCTTGACCCTGAAGTGAACCCTCAGTACCTCTGTATACCTTTTCTAGCCCGGAAGTTTTTTATTTTATTTTATTGTTTTTAGTTTTAAAAATATACTCTATTCCATGAGGTGACTCATCTGGCTAGGAAAGTCTTTCTGTAATTTTCACTCATACTGTTACATCTTAGCTCTCCTGGGGATAAAGCTAGATGGAAGGTTAAGCTAAGATCCAGTCAGCCAACTTGCTCTGTCTCCTTTCCATTTTCAGGTTGCCCCATAAGCCACTCTGCTCTGAGAAGCTGGAACAGTGGCTTTGCGAGAAGTTGTGAACACCGACTGTCCTTGCTTCTGTTTTTATTCTGCTCCTGGAACTCCTCAAAGATACCCCAGTTTGCATCTTTGTACTCAACTTGAAGCTAATTTGTCTTTGAGATCTGGCCCCGGTAGTAACACCATTGGACACGTGAGGACAATTCTCTAGGGATATGTGACTGGTGCACTAGACTTTTGTCCCATGCTGAATGCCCCTGGTGGCACTTTCACTACAACAATGGATTCTACCTCTGTCCTAAATAAAGGGTCTGATTTTGAATGGCTGGCTGTATTTTCTTCCTGGAGGGAGAGGGATTAGGGTGTTGGATGGATACTGAAGCCATAGATCATAGCTACCTTCTATCTCTACCGAAAAGGAAATAGGCTGCACTTATAACAGAAAGATGGGTTTACTTTCTGTGCCAACTCAGTCAAAAAACTTCTATGAATATTCAAGGAACTATAGAGGGGATCCAAAATTGGCTAAAAGAACTAGTAAGAGAGATGGAATAAACACTAATAAATAATAATATACAAGGAATAGTATCATAAACATCATGGGTAAGGTTAGAAATGTGCCCTGAGCATCCATAAGAGGAAAGATCATTTATATTTGAGGGTATGTATGGGAAAAAGGACCAAGGAAGGATTCATGAAAGGAGTAGCATTTGAGTTGGCTTTGTATGTGGGTGGGATTTTGACAGATAGAAATGAGGGGTAGAAAAAGACAGCAAGGGCAGGGGCTTCAAGCATCTGAAAAGGTTTGAGGGATTTCTTTGTATTTGAGAGAAGGAAATCCTCTTCACAAAGAGCTGAGAGGAACTCTTTCTGGAAACTAGAGCTAAAAACAGAGGACCCTTACAGTCAGCTCAGTAATAGAAGAATCGACACCGGGGCCTTTGAGTTTGGACCCTGCTTTCCATTACCCCTCCTTGCCGCTTCCCTTGTTTTTAAGAAGGATTTTCACAGAACTTTATTTATGCCAATGATTATGAGAAATGTGAAAGAAGGAAAATCAGGAGATTTGAGTACTAATGTCTGTTTGTGCTGCTCATTGATGGTTCAAATCTGGGCAGGTTACCTCTGTCCTCTGTAGCCCAAGTTCCTCTCTTAAAATGAGGGTTTTGACCTAGGTGGTTTTTTTTTTTTTTTTTTTTTTTTTTTTTTTTTAGAAATCTCTTCCTTCTTTGACAATCCAACATTCCAAAACTCCAATTTAATCTACCACAGTTTTGAATTAGCTGAGTCATCTTCTAATTCCTGTCTTCTTCTTCCTGCTTTCTTCCGATATCTAATATAGCTAATTATACTGCCTCCACCCCCTCTACCTGGGCTATAGGTGATCTGACTTTACTTATCTCAGAGACTAGCAGCTTCCAAATGAGGCCCCCATGGCCTACTTAGGGACCTATAGGGCTAAGCAGGGGTGGGGAGACCATCCCTCCTCTATACTTAATGAAAACAAGCTCTCAGAAAACAACTTGATACTCTTCATATCAAGTTTTTTTGTGAATTTAAATACAATGTGATGAATTTTCCAATGCATTGCATGTTAGTTCCCTCTTAATTATGGGACAAAAAATTTCCCCCCAAGTATACAGAGTTTTAGGAGTAATCCCTATGTATGGGTATATGTCAGGGCAGGATTGGATGTCCATTCCTCCCATTGAGCTCACACATCTACTTACTTATTACTCTGCCTCAGTTACATGCTCAGGGAGCCATATGCTCTTGAAAATATAAGGGCCCAGCTCCATCAAGTGGTCAGAGCAGAAATACAACTAAAACTGAGGCTGGCTCAGCCCCACAGCCTTGGTCCTTATATTTTCCTTATATTAAGAAATCTCACTTGTGGGTATACTATATATAAGGCCACAATCTTCAAAGGCCTTTGCAGAAAGAAACTGACAATACATTTATTTTCAGAGAGGCTCTTAGCCTGGGGTCAGAGTGTCAAGGACAGAGCTGGCATGGAGATAGTCTGGACTGATGCAGAAATTTTGGCTTTTAGGTAGAAACAGAGGGAAACAGCTATTGTTCTCTTCCTGAGAACTTTCTTGCTAGCTGAATGGGAGATGGGATGGCAGCTGAGCATTTGCTCTGCTCTCCAACTCCTCATTCTTTTAGGCTGAGATGTCTTGAAGAGCAGGGAGCTGAAGTGGTCCAGGCTAAGGGGGGCTGTGAGGAGGCTCAGGGCAGGGCTGTCACTGCACATGCCATTCACAGAGCTCTATGTGAGGAGGACTCAGGACAATGCCCCAAAATATGGATTCTTTTAAAAAATACATATATTTTATTGATTTTTTACAGAGAGGAATAGAGAGTTAGAAACATTGATGAGAGAGAAACATCTATCATCTGCCTCCTGCACACCCCCACTGGGGATGTGCCCGCAATCAAGGTACTTGCCCTTGACTGGAATCCAACCTGGAACCTTTCAGTCCATAGGCCAACACTCTATCTACTGAGCCAAACCGGTTTCAGCAATATGGATTATTTTTCCTCTCTTTTTATTCCAATTTTTTTCTCTCTGCTACTTTTCCTCTGATATCTATATTGTTGCGAATGCAAGAATTTTACTGAATAAAATTAAATATTCTTTTTAATATGTTCCTTATCTCACTCCCCCTTCTCTTTCATTCATTCATTCATCTCCCCCACTTGTCTAATGCTAACTGAACTTCTATTAGATGACAGGACTATTCTAGACACCGAGGATACAGAAGCTATTAGACAGGAGCTTTGCTCTCAAGACTTACATGTCAGAGGACAATATTCACCTCCTCCCATTTTCTAGTCATTTAAGAGAAAGGACTCCTCAGACGAACTTAGCCTTCATTCCTTAAATTGTCAACAAGTAGTTATTGAGGATTTGTTATTTGCTAGGCTTTATTTATTTATTTATTTTTTTAAGGCTTTACTCTAGATGTCAGTTAAGAACAAAGACAAGAGGAGGTGCATTTATTTTATTTCTTTCTTTCTGAGTTATTATGGAGTTGTAGATCTTGCCAGGAATTTTGTGGGAAAGGAACAAAGGAGAAGGTGGGTCTCACAGTTCCAAGACTGGACTCCCCCAGAATGCAGTGGGATGTTTGCTGGTGGCCAGCTAGGTTGATTTACACTTTGTGCACAGACAAAAATAAAAGAGTGAGGAAGAAACAGAGAGGGGAGGGGTAGAAAGGACAAGAAATGAGAGGGGAAAACAATCATTGTAGAAATGGCCAGTGAAGCGGTGAGCACTTTCCTGCGTGGTGACTGGGCCCCTGTGGATAGTGTCATCTGGTTTGTGGAAGTTTCCCAAACTCGCTTGCCTGGGGAGGGCACTGGGGTGAGAAAAATGCAGACTTCTGTTTTGGAAAAAAAATGAATGCTGAGATCACTGAGTGGTGGCAGCTCTTTTGCCTCCTCTTCTCTCCTATAACCTTTCCTCCGGGTGAGGCGGCGGGGCCTGGGTTAGAAGGTCAGCCTGGGCTGCCTGGCCAGCATCCTCCTCAGAGCTGCCTTCACCTCCTGGTTCTTCAGGCTGTAGATGAGGGGGTTGAGCAGAGGCGTCACCACACTGTACTGCAGGGAGAGCACCTGCTCCAGGACTGAACCAGAGGCTGGGGTCATGTACCTGGAAGGCAAGTGCACAAAGGGATAAACTGAGCTCAGGACAATGGTCACGGCACTGTTGGCAGCCACCGTCTATCCCATCCCTGGGACGCTGCAAAGAGGGTCCTCCGGGCTGAGCCAACTGGCAGCACCTAGAAATGACTGTATGGTCAGTGAGTGAGAAGTTGAGCATTTCTGCCTTCGAATGCCTTCAAACACGAGTGATCTTTTTTTTTTGTTAATCCTCAACTGAGGATATTTTTTCCATTGATTTCTGAAAGAAAGAAAGTAGAAAGAGGGAGGAAAGGAGGAAAGGAGGGAGGGAGAGAGGAAGGGGGAAAAGGAAGGAGGGAGAAAGACAGAGGGTTGGGGGAGAAATGACCATCCATCAATTGCCACCTGCAAGCGCCCTGACCAGGGTTGAGGATCAAACCTGTAATGCAGGTATGCGATTTGACTAGGTGCATGCTCTTGACCGGGAATCGAACCCATGACCCTTAAGTGTGTGGGCTGATGCTCTAACCATTTAGCACACTAGCCAGGGCCAAATATGAGTGATCTTATGCAGAATATTGCAGGAACTGCCCTGGGCAAAAGTTCTGCAGCAGATCAAGTGCTGCAGGTTAGAGTAGAACTAATGACAATTGCATGCATTTCCATAGCACTTCATACTCTCAAAGCAGCCTTCTTTAATAGCTGTGATGATAATGTGAGGAATTTTTATCTTCTCTTCCCTATATATACAACTAAAGTAGGTCCTCGGGTTTCATCGGAGATCTGTTCCTAAGGCGGGGCACAATGTAACATGATTTTCACCGTAAATCGAAATCTACCTACCAAAGCACATACATCACTCACATGGAGCACACACACAGCAGTAATGAAGTGAAACAGTAAAAAAAAAAAAATTCCTGACCTTTACTTGTGGTAAATAAATAATAAAGCACATATGTACATATTAATACATTGAAATGTTGGAACTTTTTCTTTTAAAATAAATAAATGGGAGATGGTGACATAACCACGAAACGACATGCGCTGAGTCCAATGTAACCCGAGGACTGCCTGAACATGTTCTTATCCTGTGATCATTGTTTCTTGCAAACTTGTAAGCTTAATCCAATAAAACTGTCGTTGTTCCCAACATTCCCAAGCTTGGTAAATAAAGTGGAGGATAAAAATGTGTTAAGCACAATATATAAGTTTAAAATAACAAGATTAAAAATTCGGCTGTATTTTGTTAAAGTGCCACTGGGAGTATTCCCCACAATAGCATTAATTATTATTATTATTATTTTTAGCAACGGTACCATCATCATTGAAATATTCTTTGTGAGTTCTGGTATGCTTGGTTAAAAAAGGCATTTGTTTTACTATGATTTTCATCATCTCCTTTATCTCTCCTGACGTTTCTGTGAGGAAGGCAGGAGAAATCTTATTGTCCTCTTACAGCACATGAGGATACCGAGACAGAGAGAAATGAGGAGATTTGTCCACAGGCTCAGGTGAGCTCTCCTAGATGATTCTTTATCATTTTTTTCCCCCACCTCTGGTTTCTCTCCAAGTCACAAACAAGTGAGTTGAGTACAGAGCCACTTGTGCAAACCCATCTGCATTTCACGAATAGAGAGCTCAGGCTGTCCTTACTGCGTCTCCCATAAGTGAGGACTCATCAGCTGGAGCTGTTCATGTTTGAGAGAAGCATGGTAGGAAACAGCATGAGGCTTGAAGTCAGGGAGACTTGTTTTAAATTATGGCTCCCTGACTAACTTGTTCTGGGGCCTTTGAGAAATTACCTGGTTACTCCAAGGAACTTGGTGTTTTTTTTTTTTTTTTTAAATCAATCTTTATTGTTCATACCATTACAAAGGTTCCTCATTTCTTCCCCCCTCCACCAGGTTCCCACCCCACCCTCCGTTCCCCCCCCCATCCCCCATTGTCCTCATCCATAGGTGCAGTTTATGTTCAGTCTCTTCTTCCCTCAATTTCCCCAATAGTAAATCCCTTTTCAGATAGTAAATCAGTTACTTAGCATTTTCTCATATCAATAATACCTCCACATGCCCAATGATACACTTCACACAAAAGACATTTCCCACTAGGTCAACCAGCCTCATCCAGGCCCCACCCAAGGCACTCACAGATCAACACCCCAGTCCTAAACTAACTCAACACATCCAGATCTAAGCCTTCATCACTTGATTCAGCAGACCCTCAAGTTCCCAAGAAAATTTCCAGCCATGTCTGAGAAGCAGCCGTGGGGCAGGGGCAGGCAAGGAGCGAGCTGTTCTGGGCCTGGCTGCTCAGGGCCTGGCCTCTGTTGCTCTGGTTCATTCCACAACCAGCTGCTCTGGGTCTGGTCACTGCCGCTCCCGACCTAGTTGCTCTGGACTTGGCTGCTGCTGCTCCGGGCCTGGCCGCTCCCAGCCTGGCAGCCGCTGCTCCGGGCCTGGCCGCACCCGACCTGCCTGCTCCCCCGGGCCTGGCCGCTCCCAGCCTGGCAGCCGCTGCTCCGGGCCTGGCCGCACCAGCCCCGCCTGCTCCCCCGGGCCTGGCCGCTCCCAGCCTGGCAGCCGCTGCTCCGGGCCTGGCCGCACCAGCCCCGCCTGCTCCCCCGGGCCTGGCCGCTCCCAGCCTGGCAGCCGCTGCTCCGGGCCTGGCCGCACCCGACCCGCCTGCTCCCCCGGGCCTGGCCGCTCCCCCTGGCAGCCGCTGCTCCGGGCCTGGCCGCACCCGACCCGCCTGCTCCCCCGTGTTTTTTTTTTTTAATATAAAAATGGAGATACCAATATTTTTCTTGTAGTATGATACATGCCCAAAATCATGTAAAGCACCCCGTCTCTTGTAGGTGTCTAATACATAGTTATAACATAAATAAGCTTTGGAGACATCACTTTTCAGCAGGAAAGAAAGATGGGATCTGTTTCAAGAATATGTTTTCATTTTTTGAATAAAAATCTACTAAAGGCTCCCTGATTTCCCTTTGAGAACTCCCAGATCATAGGTTAAAGTAATTAGGAACCTGGGTTAGTCCTTGAATAAGCTCATTTTTCAGTGTAAGCCATTGAGGACTCAAAAAGAAAATGGATTTTTCATAATTCATATGGTTTGTCCACAGCAGAGCCAGGACTAGAGCCCAGACTTCTTAATTACATCACGATTATTACCCTGCTATTTTTGCAATGCTTGGTTCTACAGACCAAGGCCACTTGGAATATCCTACATTTATATTCAGGTGGTAGAGTATGACATACCTGAAAACTCCTGAGCCATAAAAGATGGTGACCACAAGAACGTGAGAAGAGCAGGTGGAGAAGATCTTGCTCCTACCCGTGGCAGAGTTGATCCTCAGGGCTGTCATGATGATACGGGTGTAGGAACCCAGCAATAGGACCAGGGTGCCAAAGCCCAGGATCCCCACGGTTGTCAGGATGGAGGCGATGCTGATGTAGGAGTCAGAACAGGCCAAGAGGAGCACTGGAGGAAGCTCGCAGACAAAACTGTGGATGAAGTTGGGGCCACAGAAGTTCTGTTGAGCCAGGAGAAGAGTGTTAACGAGGCTACTCCCCATTCCCACGGCCCAGGATGCTGCCACCAGGCCAGTACACACCTTCCTGTCCATAGTCACCATGTACAGCAGCGGGTGGCACACAGCCTGGAACCGGTCATAGGCCATGACTGAAAGGAGGCAAGCTTCAGCGGCTCCAGAAAATATGACCAAGAAAATCTGGGTGAAACACCCAAGAAGGGATATAGTCTTCCACTTGGAAAGAAGGTTCTCCAGCAGTTTAGGCACGATGACTGAGGAATAGAAAGCATCCAGGAAGGAGAGGTGACCCAGGAAGAAGTACATGGGGGTGTGGAGGTGGGAATCAGCTTTGATCACCAGCAGCAGCAGCAGCAGGTTCTCTGTGAGGGTCAGGAGGTAAACCACCAGGAACAGCACAAAGAGTACTACCTGGATCTGGGGATTGTGGGACAGTCCTAGGAGAACAAACTTGGTGACTGTGGTTATGTTGCCAATTTCCATGGAGCAGTCAAGTTTTCCTTTAGAGGGACAAGAACGGAAACGAATGCTGAATCGGCTTACCAGTCCCGGAACATGCCTGGTGGTGAGGCATTGTGAGTAAAGCCTCTTGGCTAACACAGAACAGACCGTGCAGCAAAGGCAACCCTGCCGAGTGAGATCTCATCCGCCCTTCCCAGCCTAAGGCAGTAACCTACTGGCCAAGGTGGAGAGGTGGGGAGGAGGCGTGTAGAGAATCAGACCTAGGAAGGAAAGAGAAGAGAGCAGCGATTATCCAGACTGGAAAAGGAAAGGAAGGGAGTTGGGAACAAATGCCCAAGAACTGAGAAGTGCTATTCTCCCGCTCCTAAAGGAACCGCGTTCGAACCACAGGAGGGCTGGCTGGCACAGTGAGTCAGTAATAAACATTTGGCTGGCATCCGGCTGACAGACCATGATGAATGTTTGAATGATTGCTGCGGCATTGGGATACCTGATGATGGTACAAGACCTTTCCTGCCACAATTTGTGAATTAAAAAAACAACAAAATAGCCTCAACAAATAAACAAACAAAAAACAAAAAACAATCTGGGAGAACTATGTGGTTTCTAAAGTCCATTTCAGCTTAGAAATCTTAACCACTGAGGAATGGTCTTCCTTGAGTGTTTCTGGTACTAAGTAATGATTTAAAAAATATAAATATATATATTTTATTGATTTTGTACAGAGAGGAAGGGAGAGAGATAGAGAGTTAGAAACATCAATGAGAGTCATTGATCAGCTGCCTCTTGCACACCCCCTCTACTGGAGATGTGCCCGCAACCAAGGTACATGCCCTTGACCAGAATCGAACCCGGGACCATTCAGTTCCCAAGCCGATGCTCTATCCATTGAGCCAAATCGATCTCGGCTATTTCTGGTACTGAGTAGAAACGCCTTTTCCCTTCTGTGTCAACCCAAGCAGAAGTAGCACACAGGGGTGCTTGCTGGTTTCATGGAAGCCCAGCAGGAAGGAATCCTCAGAGTGGAAATGAGGGCTGTGCACATCACTTACTCCAAGGCTTCCTGTCCAGAGTTTCTGTGAAATTACAACGTCCACTGTTTGCACTATAATCTCAGGATTTAACATGAGGATCCACAAAGATTGGGTTATTCTCTGAGTTGGTATCAGGAGATTTGGATAAAGCCAAGCCAAACTTGGACCATTTCCTCCACATTGCAGGGATGGTCAAGCCAAAATAAAAAAGGAGAGACAAAACATAAAAAGAACTCCTAGGACACCTGGAAAAATGTACAGTTATGGGATTTAGTCTAAATCAGAGGGAGGTAAACTGGTCACCCCTCCCTTCCTGAGAGATAACTCAGGAAGATGATAAATGAGCATCTGATTTCTGGTCATGAATTGAGCACTCACAGGTTCCCAGAGTGGGTAGTTTTAGAAGAAGATGCATTCAGTGAGATGGAGATTTGTCTTCACAGCGGAGGGTACCTGAATGGTGTCTGTTCCAACACCGGAACCAAAGCCACCGAAGTGGTTAGAGCGCTGCGGCTTTCCTGACCTTGTCCTTCCTTTAGAAGATGCGGAGGGGAACTCTGAGCAGGGTGAGATCCAAAGGGAAGCCTTTTAGACTGCTGCCCAAATAACAATGGCCAGAGGGACTTGACCTAGGGAGTCTGGGAGGTCCCTGGAGAGGCTTTTAGCAGGAGGTCTGATCTGAGTCTGAATGAGTTCTCCAGGGCCAACTATTCCTCTCCTGTGTCACTCTCGTTTCAGTGGGTTGCATCATATAACTGGGGCCCTGGGATGGCCAGTAATTTCTAAAGATAAGAATATAGTATTCTAAGGCCTTTTAGTTCTAAAAATTGAATTTCCCTTCCCACCTTCTTTTTTTTTAATTATTTTTTTATTTTTATTTTTAAAATATATTTTATTGATATTTTACAGAGAGGAGGAAGGGAGAGAGATAGAGAGCTAGAAACGTCAATGAGAGAGAAACATCGACCAGCTGCCTCTTGCACACCCCCTATTGGGGATGTGCCCGCAACCAATGTACATGCCCTTGACCGGAATCGAACCTGGGATCTTTCAGTCCACAGACCAATGCTCTACCACTGAGCCAAACCGGTTTTGGCCCCACCTTCTTTACCTGTCTGCCTTCCTTCCTCTCTTCTTTTCTCCCTTTTCCCTTCCCATTTTCTTATGTTTTAAATTTATATCTGTCATTATAAAAATAAGATAATGATAAAAGACAAAAGTGAAATAAAGTTATTGAAGATACTTTAAACCTAACAAAATATTAAATATACTTTAATGATAAAAGGAGAAAATAAAAATGTGGCATAATTGATTGCAATTCAAATAAAATCCAAATACATTAAAAACTTTAAAACAAAATTTTTATTGTGGTTAAAAACTTTTTATTATGGACAAATTTAGATATATACAGAAGTAGAAAGTATATGTAAGTGGTGTGTATTTTCTGGATATCATATTTTCATCCAATTATGCATGTAAGTCACCAAAGGTTATTTTTCTCTCCAGAATTTATTTGCAACATCAACAGTCAGGGAGTTGATTAAATATAACTGGAGTACCACTTTGACTATTTTAAAGGTTTTGCTGATTACTTGTTCTCTTTTCACAGACCATAACACTGCAGATCCTTTGCTTGGAAACTTAGCCATTCAGTATTTAACCAACCTTTATATATTACAATATGATTGCCATTGTAGCAATAATTAGTATCTCTATCACTTAGATAATTATCATTTTTAGTGGTTATGTCCATGTAAAAATCATCCAAACAAATTGAGAAATTTTTTAGTTTATTTGAGCCAAATTGACAATAATTGCCAGGGAGTGAAATCTCAACGGATTGAGAAAAAATGCGTTGGAGAATGGCAGTTTTGCAGTTTTATACATTAGAATAAAAAGAGGTGATGTAAGGTGGGTTACATGAAATCCATAAGGGGGCAGGAGCAAGCAAAGCAGAGATTGAATAAGAAGCAAAATGGAGAGACATACTTCTTTTACATTGGTGGGAACAGGATAGTTAATACGATCATGTACCACACAGAGTTGTTCTGCAGGGAACAAGATGACAGTGAGGGTTCTGGGATCTACCCTCTGGTGCCTGTGGTTGTGCCTTGAGGGGTCTGGAAAAGGTTATGCTGACATTTCAAAGGTATGTTATCTCAGATGCAAAAAGACAACAGATGACTCGCTTGAGGCAAAGATTGATCCTTGTCAAGAAAGCCACAGGCCTCTGATGTTTCTTTTTATTATTTATGAGATGTCGCATTTTTATCCTTTTATTGTCAACCTTTCTGTACCTGATATTTGAGGTAAAATTCTTTTAAGTAGCAAGGTAATCTTTTAGTCAATGTACTTAGGCTGTATACATTTAATATAATTACTGATGTAGCTGGATTTAACTTTCCATCTCACCATTTGTTCTCTATTTGTCACACCTACTATACATTTCTTTTTATCTTTCTTGTCTTCTTTTGGATTAACCATCTAAAAAAATCACTCCATTCTTTCATTTCTATTAGGAGACAGTCTTACATCCCTGTTTTAGTTGTGGCCATGGATATTACCATACTGATCCTATAAATTAGAACTGTTACTCCTTCCTGGGCAATATAAGGATTTTAGCATAGTTTTGTTTGTTTTTACCTCCTCCAATGTTTTGTGCTGTTATTGCCATGCATTTTGATTATATGTGTATGAATACATGTATACATATATGTATGTGTATAATTCCTCAAGACATTATTATTATTTTCTTAAAATGTTTTTAAAAATACATTTTTATTGATTTTTTACAGAGAGGAAGGGAGAGGGATATAGAATTAGAAACATCCATGTGAGAGAAACATGTGAGAGAAACATTGATCAGCTGCCTCCTGCACATCCCCTACCGGGGATGTGCCGCAACCAAGGTACATGCCCTTGACCGGAATCGAACCCGGGACCCTTCAGTCCAGAGGCCGATGCTCTATCCACTGAACCAAACCGGTTTTGGCAAGACATTATTAAGTTACTATACAAATCCATATTAATTTGAATTTCCCCACATGTTCTAATTTTCAGGAGCTCCCAATTCTTTCCTCTAGTTCAATATTTCCATTTAGGAACATTTTTTCTCTATATAAAGAAATCCTTTCAGTATTTCTGTTATAGTATGCTGGTGCCAAATGTCTTAAGCTGTTGTTTGTCTGAGAATATTTCCTTTTCATTTCTTTTTTGAAAAGGCACAAATTTTTAAATTTTATTTATTGGTTTTGAGAGACAGATAGATACTGACTTGTTGTTCTACTTATTTATGCATTCTATAGAGGCCTAATGCACCAAATTATTGCACAGGTAGGATCTCTACTGGCTGCCGGCTGCCAGCCGCCAGCCGGGGCCTTCCTTTGTTCCATACCACCCCCTGGTGATCAGTGCACATCATAGCAAGCGATCGAACTCCCGGTCAAATTCCCGAGGGGACACTTTGCATATTAGGCTTCTCATTGGCAGCAGGGATCAGTATTCCTGCTTCCAAGATGTTTCCTTTGTAGAACTTTGCCTTGATGGATGCCCAGGATTTGTATTGCAACTTGAAGTCTAGTGGTTTTTTTTTTTGTTTGTTTGTTTTTGGTTTTTTTGTTAATGCCATCTAAATTCCCTGTTCCCCAATTCACCAACACCAACATATTTAGCACCAATACAATGCAAATATCTCAGAGTGCAGCCCACATTGCTAAATTCCTGAATAACAAATGTTTCCTCTCCAAACCCGGAAGCCATTCCTAAAATGCTTATGTAAGAAGCTTCCCTGAGGAAGTTTTCAATCCATTGGAAACGGCCAATGGTGGAGCTACAACTGTGGATGGCGCGTTGACTGCTGGGTTTATCAGCAATGCGGACACGTGCCTTCCTACCAAAGTGCCCCATGGTGCTGACCTAGGTGTCAGCAATCCCCACAGCTCCCGCTCACCTGGGGAAGTGGCATCAATGCCAGGACCAATAAAGCCC